GGGGGGGGGGGGGGGGGGGTGAAGATGGAAGACGCTTTGGCCTGCGGTTCCAACACGACGCTTGCAGTTGCACGGCTTCACGGCATGCAGAACACTGCCGTCGGGGGGTCGATCTGGTAGCCAAGACTATCGAAATGGGGGACAATGGGGTCGCCAAGGAGGGTTAGAATGGCTTCAGAATGGCCCAGGGGTCACGGTATGGTGGTTCTTGGAGTCGCAGAGATTGGGTCGGCTTCATGCACGGCTAATTTCGGCAGGGCTCAGCTCATGCTACAGTGAGTGTGCTAGCAGATCCTGTCAACCATGTGGACTGAACCATGTGCGAGATAGATTGCCTTGAGGGATATGGTAGGGTTGTGTTGTTGATGTTTGGACAAGTCGTCGATGGAAATAATTGAACATGTCAAAAATGGCCCCCGGATTTGGGGACTGTCCGAGTCTCCAGCAGTAAAAAGGTGACACTGCACAACAACTTGATATCTGGACCTGAGGGGTGACGCAGCGATACCGGATACGTTCTGCAGCTAAGGACGGGTGACTGGTTGAGCATTGTGTAATGGTGCAGCATTGTGACCAAAATGGACGGAAAGGCCGGCTTCCCTGATAGACGGAGGCTCAACAACCGTAGAATGCGGCAGGTACGATATGGTCAACACTCATTGGATCTTTCCTTTCCTTCAGAAAGATGTCAGCTCAGCCAAAGCCACGGAGATGCTCCTTGGATGGTCCATTGACAATTTCCATTGTTCGGTGGAGCCGTCTCAGCCTGATGCAAGCAGGCAAATGGCACCAATGGGAGAAGACATGCAGGCATTGTCAGGCTGACTGACAAGCAAGAATCAAAGATTTTCTTTCTCTCCAGAAAATCAGCAGAAATTCGGCTGCCTGTTCGCAGCGAGTCTCCACCGAATCCGTCGATCGAATCTCCCCCTGGGTTTCCAATCGCACGCTTTCCACGTCCATGGTTGGTTGGTGGTCCCCTTTGCGGGAATAGTCGCATCTGTCCCTTTTCATTGGAGAAGACCGACCGGGTCGTCATCAAAAATTGTTGTCATGATCGTATGCTGTGTTTGATGGCCAGCTGTGAGGAATCCTCGACGCCGTCTCATTTCGCCTGATCCCGTCTTCCATCCCAACTGAATGGCGATCTGGAGGACGTTGCGACGAAAAAGAAGAAAAGGAAGCAGCCGAGAGACACCACCTAGAGACAGAAGCCAAGAGGCCAATCACACAAAACATGACGGAGTGGATCCTGCTTCAACCTCGAACGGGCTCCACCTTTTTAGGTTCAATGTGGGCAAGTGGGGTGTGGTCAAAGGCCGGGGACGACCATCATCATTTCCTCCTTCCTTTCTTCCATTCCTCTTCGATTCCATTGATTGACTCCCCAGACACTCCTTTTCTATCGCACCATAATCTGTTTTGATGGGCAATGGAAATTGAAGCCGGGTCGGTGCCGAGAAGGATCATCTAGACATCAATTTCTTCTCCAACCGACGATGAATGATGGAATATTCCCATTGCTGTTTCGAAGCCCAGCCATCATTTACAATCTTTCGACATTTCTCCTTGCCGAGTCCATATATCCGTCCCCGTCTTCCCATCGTGTCCGTGATGATTTCAACCTATCCTACCGCTCTTAAAACACACCTGTGCGACGACGTCGGTCACAGAAAGCGACCAAGACGCCTCAGCGGGAATTGGCGCGTCCCGACTCGGTTGCCCACAGCGCCGCTGCATCACTTCGTCGACCCCAAGCGTCTGGCCCAGTGTGCTTCTTCGGGATAACAATGGTGACAATGGCAATGATAGGAAAACAGCATGCAAGCCACAAGTCTTGGAAACCACCATTCATGTGCCCCTATGTGCCCCCATGTGCCCATGTCAGAGTAAACCATCAACCGAACCGTCGTGCCGTCCTTCTGGTACTATTGCACTTCCCTACCATGAGGCTTCCATGAATCAATCATTGTCACAATTCATCAATACAGAATTTCTTGAAGTTGTTGTTCTCCCTTGCATCTTGACATCCCGGCCACCACCACTCAGTTAGGTACTCGGCGCTCAGTGGTGGTGCTCAGGGGTTGCCGCCAAGGATGGTGCTTACCTGTTACTTCACTCCATATACGTACCTACTGCTTCCAACTGCCGCTTCAAAAAAGCAACAAAATGTAGGTGATTATCAGACAAAAATCAAAATTACCGAAAAGGGCGATCGTAGGTTTGAGATATCCATACAGTACCATAAAGTTCTAAAGTCGGTCCCAGCTGTCTTGAATTGAAACGGGTTCCAGTCAGCAGTATTATGTTATGTACTATAGTGTGGGAAAGTACTATAGGACTTGAAACTCCAGCTATTTGAAACGGCACCAGATCTGCAACCCTCAATCCTGCTCATAAATCTTCTCGAAGCTTTTTTCCATTCATCTTGTCCTCCTTGGTAGGTAGGTAGGTACCTACCTTGCATGAACGGGAATCCGGCAGCAGTACCAGATAAGAAAGGCATAAGAGGCACATGATACACATCTCGTTAATACCTACGCCAAGTTACGACTGCTGCGTGTACACCCATAGACAACCTCTAGCTGTGAACCTTGATCGTCGTGTACGGCACATCAATCACCGGACATGCCATCCCAGCCTAAAAACCCACCGACCGCTCTTTTGGGTGCCCAGGGGATCCCGAATGGAGGACGACAGAAACGATGCGGCGGCGCCTTCATCATACATGTCGACGTTTTCGTAAAATGGTTACACGAGCCACACGAGACACACGAGACTCGAACGCCTTGCTCCTTTTGGTCTTACAGTCTCATCACAGGCGGGCACAGCAGATGGATAGATAGATGGTCGGACTGGGCTGGGCCTCGTTTTCTCTCTATTCTTTTTTCTCCTTAAAGGGTTGCCTTTGGTTTATTGCCTCACCATGCCATGCCTTATACAGCCCGAGTTTCTAATAGTCATAATCGGCCTATAAATCTCGAGTATAGTATCGATCTCGTACTCGTTTTCTGCGCTGTGTTCTATCTACTGTGCTTCCTGTATCTTCTATCTTTTGTGCCTTGTCGCAGGTTATTCTAACATGCCGACCACCAATAATGATAAGTATCTATCTGTACAAGTATACATTACTAATGCACACACATCTTCTCCGAGAGCACACCTAGTATATTTCCAACCCAAGACACACTGGGTGAGTAAGCAAGCAAAGCCCTTTCTTCAAGTGGCGTAGACGGATACATATGGGGTGATCAAGTACAAAGATGAAGGAAGGGGGACGCCACCTGTAGTCGACAGCTGGGTTCATCCATTTTCATCTTGAATTGACAGAATAAGAGCGGCTGGGACTTCGGCGTGGATGAAAGCAATAGATAACCGACTGAAAAGAGTGTAGTAAGAAGAGATAAAGCAGTACCTGATGCTTACGAAACTGCTTCAGGATGAGAAGATCGTGGACGGGTGGCTAGAGAAACCTAACTTGTGTGTTGGAGTTTTGTCATGGTGGTTGTCGAGCTAGGGAGCAGCAGACAGCAGGATAACCTTCTGGTAAGGTACCTAGACACGGCGAGAACGATGGGTTGAATATTGTTCAAGGTTACCTCCATTCCATAGTGGGCGACGGAGGACACTTCAGTTGGTTGGGACACACAAAGAACGAAGTGTTTGATCCGTCAGCTAGATGAACGCAACGACATACGGCGTAGACCCATGGACTGAGGCTACATTCAGTTCCTTCTTTCCGTTTCTCTTCCTCACTCCTCATGTTTTGAGGAAGGTAGGGTAGAGGTACACATAAGGTGCGCTCCTTCCTCATTACATTTTTACCTACTCATTGCCATCTCCGATGTCAGACAACCCTCCTATCAACCCGAGTCACCGGGCCTCGACGGATATTATCATCAGTCTCAATCTAATGGCCAGCCACCCCCACACGCCACCGGGACTCACTACCAGCCATCACATTAAGTTCCCCCCCGGCCGTCTGTCCATCCAGACAGTATTGTTTTCAAGTAATTACATACTTCAGTTGGAATGACGTGAGACCCGAGAAATTGGATAGAGGAAAGCCATCATGTTGTTTCCACCACTAAGTACTACTCCCACTCGCAGTGCCAGCGCCAGTGGGCTGAATCTAGCCCTAAGTCTAAGCCCTCGTCCGCCTTTCCTTCTTCTGTTTGACTAAATCAGCAAAGAAAATCCGAAATGTAAAGTTGGTATATCTTCAATTATCTTCTCTACGCTCCCTTCCGAAAGGAGTGCAACTAGATCCAAATGACCAGATTACGACTAAATGCAAGACCATCATACCTCTAGGATTCAAGCTTTCGTGATCACTTGTCATCTCCAACTTGAAAGATCCCCTCCCTCAAATTCCCATCAATAGCTGATTATTCCCACTTACCTACCTACTGCATAGTAAACTCAGCCAACACTGGGATATTCTCCTTTACTTTGCTTTTATTTACTTATTTCCCGTTCACGGAAAGTACGGCCGGTCAATCGGTCGGATCCTTTGCCTGAAATCAGTTCACTTCTCAAGACCCTGATCAACTCGACTCGACCCGGCGGACTGGAACCACCAACCAACCTAGAACCGAAAGCTGAAGAAAAGAGAGTCTTTGAGGCTTGAGTCCAGACCTCACTCAGCCAATCCACAATCTCCGCGCCATCACGTTCCCGACACGCTGGTACCTGGCTGGCTGGCTGGTATCCATTCTCATCGAAACCAGGATCAACTGCGGTAACTTATCTCCGCGGTGCTGCCCTGAAGTGAGTAGCTGGTGGCTTGTT